AATTTTTAATGGCAAGATATCTGGCGCTCAACTAAAATTAGATTTATTGTGTCTGTAGCCTGATGACGGTGACCGAAGCTGCAGTTTCCACAACAGTAGCAGTGAGGCGGAAGGCAGGCAGAGAGCTGAGGAGACAGGGGTTTGCACAAAGTTAGCTGTTAGGCTGTGTTCTAAAAATAATGAAGAAAAAACAATTGTTTGTCTTTCTTTATTATGAAATTGTTTGAGGGTTGACCCTCGACGGCATCACTGACCATATTTATAAGTTTAGTGTGCTAACTTCTTGTAATAATTATTTCTTGGGTTTATAAAGAACTTTTCACACCATGATAAACTATAATGTGGTCATTTACACATAATGTGTAACAGTTGGTGCAATGTAAAGGAAAAAAAGCACATCATGAAATGTACATTTATATAAAATGTATACAGAGCTGCCAACTTTTGAACATTTCAAAGAGTGAGACGCGGTCACGGGGTTGGGAGCGGACAATCCGCTGACCGTTTGGAGGGGGGGGGGGTAATATTGACTTTATTTATTTATTTCTACTCTGTATGGAAGAGGATTAGAGCCACTGACAAGGAAAAACAAAGAAAAGAAAGAGAATTCTTACTTTTTTCTCAGAATTCTGACTTTAATCTCGGAGTTCTGAGAAAAAAGTAAGAATTCTCTTTTTTTCTTCTTTTTTTTCTTTTCAGTGGCCCTAATCCTCTTCCGTACCTCTGACTTTACAGAGGGAGCTGACCTTTGTTTAATACAAATTTTATTTTCGTAAGGAAACTTTAACATCCAACTCTCCTGAACTTATTCTGTCTGTCTGTCTGTCTGTCTGTCTGTCAGCAGTAAAGAGTTACAGGAACTTTTAATTATAATGAATGCAAATGATTAAAATTCCATCCAGAGGTGGGAGATATCATTACCCTGGCAAGCCAGACTAAATAAATGTATTATTTAGTCTGGCCACGCTCCATTGACGGCTCTGGGTTGTGGGGCGGGTTCTACCGTTGTCTTTCAAATGATCTCCGCATTCCACTGGACAATGAATGTGACATCCTCTTGTTTCACTCTGTTGCATCATCCCACCCACCAGGCATATAGAGTGCCCTGATTGGCCCACAAAGCGGATAAAGCTCTGTGATTTGTTCACTAAGCAGATAGAGCACTATGACTGGCCCACCATTATGGACCAATCACAGCTCTTTATGTGTTTGAAACCCCTCTAGAGAGCTGTGATTGGCCAGCCAGAGTCCTGGTAGGAACTGTGGAGGTTCCAATGGAGCATGCCTAGACCAAACTTTGCAGAGCAAGAGTTTGGTCTAGTTCACTAGGCTAAGATATCATGTCATTCATAATATTACCAGTTATTATTTCCTGCCAAGAAAAAAATATCATGTTAAGCTAACTTCATGATTTAATTGCATCCACTAAACAGGATTATGTTCATGTGTTCATCAGCATGAAGTTATTGAAGTTATCAAAGCAAACATGGCTGGAATCAGTTTTACTGTAACCTGTGTCTCTGAGTGTGTGTGCTGCTGTAATGAGTGGATGTCCCCGCTGTGGGACTAATAACATTTACTCTATTCTATTCTATTCATTCATATCAGCCAGTAGGGAAAAACGTTTGAGGATTTCTGGCCTTTCCAGGCTTCCGTACCAGTAACCTGGTCATGGAGGAGGGGTTTGTCTCACAAACAGGAAAAACACACTGGTGAGGCGCCGGTAATTACCGCATCACCAACTAATGTAGGAGAGGGAGTGTGTGAGTGAGTCACCACGGTAGGAAGCCCAGCTTGCTGTGAGCGAGGATCTGTGGCTGATGAGTGAAAACAAAAGAGAAACATTCGGCACCGAAGCTCCGTCAACACCGGCTGGCGACGCGGCTGCATTTCTAAATAAAGCATGTCATTCTGGCGGCGCGCGCGGCTGCAGATCACGGTTCTGGGAGAACCGGGCAGGCCTGTCCCATCTACAGCGTGGAGCTCACCGCTCCGCCCATCTCACAACCAGAGCAGAAAAAAGCACATGGGCTTGGATTATACACATGGGATTATGTGTGTGAAATAACACCAGTTAAAGTATTACTTACGTGTTTGTGTGCATGCTGTTCAGCAGCTAATGCTATAATTAATGTCATCAGGTTTTTCATAAGCCCTACACACTGTGTGTGTGATGCGCGTCTGGGGAGCGCAGGCGCTGGTTTAGCGTGAGATATTGGAGGTGTGGCGTGAGAGCGTGTGAAGAGGGTCAGATGCGTGTGTCTCACGCTCAGTGCCTGAGAGTTGGCAGCTATGTGTGTTTATTATTCTCGTCTTTTTGAAAGCAACCCACTATGGACACCGGTATGGGTGAGCCAGAGGCCAGGCAACATGCAGCAAGAGGAAGAGAAAGAGGCAGAGCTGCAAACACGGGTGACATTAGTAGACCTGCAGGAAGAAGAGGCACAGCGAGATCAGGAAGTAAGTGTGTAAATGATGCTTTTATTATTCCATGCTGTAGTTCTTTTTTAAAGCACACAGCAATTTTGTTGACCTGTTTTCCCGCTACGTTTCGTTTGCGGCTGCAAACTTCCTCTGCTCTGTGTTTTAAAAAGGAACTACAGCATGGAATTAGAGATACGACACAGCAAGAACACACCTACGATGCTTTTATTATTGTGTTGAACTGTGAGCATAATTGTAATAATCTTGAATCCATTCAGGACGGAGGATGCAGCCGAACGCAGAGGAGCAGAGAGTGTCCGCCATGTTGGAAGAGAGAAGGCTTGAGACAGAGGTTAGTATAAAGCTGTCAGTAAAAAATGTTAGTATAAAATGTATATTTTTAAGTTTATACGTGTTTATACAAAAATTATTACACCGCCATCATATTCTAAAGGTAGTCAAATACTGTGCAGGAGTAGCGACAGCTTGACCAAGTAATGAAGTTGAATAGAAGTCATTTCTGTTCCATTTTGAAACTGAACTGAAGTCATGGTTTTGGAATAACTTTTTCCTGTGCAGTCTGCTCCACCAGGAACTTCTGCAGACACACACCCTCGAGGAGTACTGGGATCTAGGTAGGGAGCTTTACGCCAGGCAGCCTGGGCTGGTATGTGATGCCTGGAGTGGTGCCCTCCACCTGCTGACCTGCCTGGGATACCACCATGGTGCACATGTGGAAACTGCAGACATGCCCACTCTGCTGGAGAGGAAGTGTTGTAACCAGGAACCAAACCACCGTGTCCGCCCACTGCCACACTTTTCCTTATTTTGTTTAGATGAAGGCAACCTGCGAATTCACAGGCGATACCGGGAGGACCTGATGGTGGTGAGGCCGGCGAGAGAGCCAGGGGATGACGACCGGGAGTACCGCCATGCTGCCTACAGACATTTCATCTTTTGGCAGCATGGTGCTCTCACGCGTCATCCCCAGCTGCTGTGTGTGGGCGATCAGGGACAGGTACCCAGACCCCTACGGGCAGTATAAAGGTTTTGTCCCTGGTCGCTAAAAAGTTTGTAAATAGTTCTATTTAAATACATTTTATGTGAATAAGTTCTAAATAATAAGTGTCATGTGAAAAATAAGTTCAATGTAAATAATAACAAATACAGAGCTCTTATGTGTTTTCATTTTCTGTTTTTTGTGTTATTATGAGAGGAAATGACTAAATGTCAGTAACTTTTTTACCCAGCTCCAGTGTAGAACATCTCTATCATGGCGTCCTATCAGGCCTGGCTTTGGAACATTTACACAGATCAAGTTCTTCACAAATGACTAAGCAAATAATGTAAATAAATAATTCAGCCATTGTTTCCCAAAACGTATTATGTTTTTATTTGTACTCTGTGTGAGGCTAGGCCCACGTTCGCATCCCGAGGTTCCAGTCTCTCTTTGAACCCAAAAGCCATGCAAGGTGAGGTGGGTCTGGTAGGAGGTCAAGGTGCTGCCGTGAGGCTGGGGCTGCTGCTGAAGAACAATGGGGTAGGGAGGAGGAGGAGAGAAAATATCTCTGTTCAAATAGCAGGACAGGAAAAAAGTATAACAATATTTCTAAATCTAGGTTTAAAACTTTTTTGACATACCAACACCTCGCTGGACTTGTATGTAGGGCTGAAATGATTCCTCGAGTACCTCGAGTACAAAAAATCCTCCAGTCAAATTATCTGCCTCGAGGATTCGTTTAATTCATATTTAATTAATTCATGGCTTTGCAATCGCCCGGGGTCATGTTTCACCCGGACCGAAATAAGTGACGCACATGCCCACTGGGCTGAATGCACACGCGAGTAGCGAACGTAACTTAACTTTCTCTTAAGCCATGGCGGACAACATGGACCCCGGTGGAGTTGTAAAAAGACAGAAAATGTCAAAGGTGTGGGACCAAGGCGGAAAACGTAGTCCAGTGTAAACGCTGTAAAATGGATTTAGCCCACCACAACACCACATCCTCCATGCTGCAGCACCTGACCAGGAAACAGCCACGTGTAAATGCCACTTCTGCAAGCGGACTCGGAGCCTCTACAAGATAATGCATTTTAGCCTGTATTTCTATATATTCTGCGGACACTGTGCGACTTTTTCGTTTGTAGCGCTCAGTTTCAGCTCACACTGTACGTCTGGTAGCAACACGTCGGACTTAAAATGTGCTAAAAATAGCAGTTTTTACAACACGTCGGACTTTTTACTGTGTTGTTATTGATGTCCGTTGTCCCTCTGGGTTTCTGTAGAAGGACACGGGTATTTATGAGTGGCGGAGGAAAATGAAAGAAAGTAAATAAATGTTTTGTGATCAGTATAATTTGACAAAACCACAGCAAACGTGCTTTCGACAATCCTTGTTATAGTGTGAGAAAAAAGTGTAGAAATTAAAACGGACGTGTGTTAATAGGGAAACAGCTGGCGAGCCATGTTTGCGCATGCGCCGTGAACGGTTCTGGTTCTGTTTGGGCCGCAGCCGCTCGCAGCGCTACTTCAACAGTTATCCTCTGGCTTGCAGGCTAGCAGATTCTCGCACGAGGGGAAAATCGGCACAAGTTGTGTACTTATGTTTTGCACAGGCGTTTGTTTACTGTGAAGTAAAGTTGAAGTGCTGAAGTTTTGAAAACTAATTTTGAATAAAACTTGAAGAATAACTGGTGATTGCTTTCTCATTTTAAGAGGTCTTTCATATTTTATAACATGCTATTTGATGTAATGGTTTACAAACACAAAAGGGTCATTTATTAGAGTACTCGATTACAAAAATATTCGATAGCTGCAGCCCTACTTGTATGCGAATGAGTTCCTCTACTGGTGGTGGCGATACAGGAGGGAGAAGGCCGAGTCTCCTGGGGTCGTCTGGCCGTAGAGTCCTGCGTTCAGGCAGTCCAACATTTGCAGCCAATCTCCTAGAGAATGTGGGCCTGAAGAGGTGGAATGTGGTCGTATGTTTTTTGGACCTTCAGAGCGTAGACAGACACTCCATCTGAGGCTTTTTTTGTAAAGCCTCATTGCCCTGTAATGTTCACAAAGACATAGACAATTAACATTATATCAGTAAGTAGATGACTTATGATGCAAGATTAGCCTAGTGCACGGCTTGGTGTCATAAACGTACATGGGCCTGCCATCCACTGTGTGCCTTAAAGGGCGGCCTAGGTGATGGTTGTAGTCCAGAGCCGTGAGGAGTGTCCTGGCCTCATACACAGGTGGGTTTGCCAGCATACGTCAGGATGTGGTTTTGAAAAGCCTCCAGATCTGCAGCTGATCTGTGCAACAACAAGTGTGTGTGTAGAATAAGATTAGAAGAAATACTCACATTTTGTATTATAACACACAACACTTCCATTACCTGAAGGTGAGGTATTTATGAATGTTCCTCAACCAGGTCCCTAAGACCAGATTTAAAACTAGAGGGGACCTGTCCTTTCAAGTTGTAGCTCCCAGACTTTGGAGCGCCCTGCCCTTGTGTCTTCGTGTGGCCGACTCTGTTGATTAAAAAGCAGCTGAAGACACTTTTATTTAGACAAGCTTTTATGTGAGTTGACCTTGTGCTCCTGTCCTGTTTTGCCTTTTATGTATGTTGTGAAGCACTTTGTGATTTTATCTGTGAAAAGTGCTATACAAATAAAGTTTTACTTTACTTTACTTTTACTTCAACCAACGCTTGTTCAACATCACATCCTTCAGAGCCTCATGAGCCACTGACCCGATTTCCAACCACTCCTTGGTGGAGCTGTTCTCGAGCTCCTCGTGTTGGCAACGTCCCATCACCCTCTCATGCTCATTTGCCACCAGAGGTGGAAAGAGTACTAAAATGTTGTACTTAAGTAAAAGTATAATTACTTTCATGAAATTTTACTCAATTACAAGTAAAATTACCTGCCTCAAAATGTACTCAAGTAAAAGTAAAAAGTAGCTTAATTCAAATGTAGTCAGAGTAAAAGTTACTTAGTTACTTTTTTGACTGTGCAAGGACGGGCTCTTGTGAATAGTTAAAAAAAAGACAATGGGGTATAAATGTCAAAGTGGCCGTTTTTTTTATTAAATGAACAAATATGCATATTGACGTACAAAGGCAGTTACACTGCAAGCTAGTAACATAAATTAGGTTGTAGTCACAAGCCCATGACTTCTCCCTGAATGACCCCCCCCCCCCCCCCCCCCCCCCGGCAGATCCTGATAGGCCTACCCAGTCTCTCAGCCTCTCCAGTAGCAGGTGATGGTCAACAGTGTCAAAGGCTGCAGTCAGGTCCAGCAGGACCAGAACAGAACAGTCCCCTGCATCACTGTGGGTCAGAAGGTCATTAGAGACCCTAAGAAGAGCTGTTTCAGTAGAATGAGCTCTACGAAAACCTGACTGGAAGCTATCATAGATGTTATGTTCATCAAGAGCAGCTGTGAGTTGTTTAGCCACAACCTTTTCCAAGATCTTGGAGATGAACGGAAGTTTAGAGATGGGTCTGAAGCTGCTATGGAGAGAGGGGTCCAGACTCGGTTTTTTAAGAAGCCGGTGGATTACAGCGTTCTTAAAGTAAGCAGGGACCTGACCAGAGACCAGAGAAGCATTAATTATAGAGAGCACGCTGGGACCGATGGACTGAAAAGCACTTTTAAACAAAGATGAGGGTAAGATGGGATGACTGTTGCTTGACTTTCTCCGCCCCAGCCTCTGCCATCTGGTCAAGATGTCTTCTCATATTGATCAAACCTGTTGAATGACAATAACATAACACATATTTAATATATCTGGCAATTAAGTTTTGATAGAAGATGCAACAAGAATTGTTTTTAGTAATACATACCTTACAAATACTATAATCCACTGTGTGCCTTATATGAATTTTAAGTATGTTGACAGGATTGAAATGAATAAGATACAGATTAAGGTATGATATTGAATTATAAAAAATTACCTGCTTCAATGATATCCTGCCTCTCAGTCCAGGTGGTCTTGAACTTTGGAAGAAGGATTGCAGCAGCAGTCAGCTCAGGGTCTTCCATCATCTCACCAAAGTGCTTTTGGACACCATCCTGAATGGCTCTGAAGAGTGGCTGACACATCTTATAGACAGTCTCCAGTCTGCTGAGTTTTTCTTTTAGCTGGAAGTTCACTTGAGGGGCGGGACTAGGAAGCTCAAAAATGACCAATCGGAAAAAAGAAGGAAATCCCGACTGTACCACACGACGCGGTAATTTCTAGTTGTAGTAAAAAAAAAATAGCATCTGGCAATGGCGCAAACATCTTTTATTCTTTAGAAGAAATGCTTTTAGCGCTTCTACTTGTGGTTTTAAAGACATCTGTGTCGTTTAGAACAGAGGAAAGAGCCGCAGCGAACTCCGCCGCTGTCTTCGTTGTTTATGAGAAATTGAGCATCGCCGTGTATGACGTGAATTAAACAGGAGGAGTCTGGCAGGCCAGGCTGTCTTTCTCATACCATTAGCGCCTATTTTCTTCTCCTACCCACCATTCATTGCACTGTAAGGTCACTGAACACATGCTTCACACAAATGGGCCATTCCCATCTGTACCGGGTCGGCCCGGGCCGGGTAGCGTAGGTTGTTTACATATCTGGGTGGCCTGGTATTTTTCCGGGCCAACCAAGGCTCATTCTCAGCCCTCTTCTCGAGGGAGTCTGCTTCAGGCCGGCCAGGGCCAACACACCCACTGCTGACAGCAAATTCACACCTTCCATTAGAGCAAGCCTCTGATTGGTGGGTAGAATCAGCCCACATGGGCTTAAGGCAAGGATGTGTGGAATCAACCGGGCCAGGCTGGGGCCGACTGGGGCTACCCGGCCCGGGCCGACCCAGTACAGATGGGAATGGCCCATTAGAAGTTCAACTCACCTGTTGACCGCTCAGACATCCCTTCATTCCTTCTCACAAGCTTTGATCTTAGGTGATCCTCCAGTCATCCGAATAGCCAGTTAGTGTTTCTTATCCTTTCCGTCGTATCCCGTAACACTCTCGTAACTTAAGCACTCAGTTCTTCTGGTGCGCGCCTT